CCCCCCCCTGCAGTGACCATGATTCAATTTATGTGTGCACCTATCTATCCATCAGAGTTCTGCCCACGCCATCGACCACATGACGCACTTCCTGTGTGCCGTCCACGAGACGCCGCCAGAGGGCCAGTCGGTGCTGGGCAGTGAGCAGCGTGTCGTGACCTTGGCCAAGGTTGGCACCGGCTTCAAGGTCGAGGAGATCAAGAAGGCCCGCGACATCGTCAGGAAGGTCGCCAAGAGGTGTGCTGAAGTGGAAATGCATCATGTGTGTGTATCGGTGTGAATGTGTGGGCGGCGTTGTGTGTGTGTGTGTGTGTGTGTGTGCAGGTACAAGGGACTCGAGGACGCGCCGTGGATGGGCGACTGGAAGCCGACTGCCAATAGCAGGTCACTAACCACCACCACCCAACACCACACACACCACCACACACCACACCACAAGCCGCAGACACCAATCTCGCTCTCCCATTTTCCCTCTGTGGACGGATCAGGCCTGATTTCGTGTGGCCTCCCTCTGACGGCTGGGTCATCGACGTCACGTGTGCCGAGATCGTCGACAGTGACGACTTCGCCATGGGCAAGACCCTCCGCCATCCCCGCTGCCCCAAGATGCGCCTCAGTGACAACCAACCGGCACAATTCATACGCCCCGACAAAGCGTGGCACGAGGCGTGGACACGGGAGAACCTCGAGGTCGGTCGGTCGGCCACCAGCAGCAGGGGAGGAGAAAGACAGCATCGAGGGCACGTGTGTGTGTGTGTGTGTGTGTGTGTTGAGTGCAGGAGTTCATCTCAGTCGACCCTGCGCACCGCAACAACCGCAAGCGCTGGGGCGACCGAGGGGCCGGCGGCTACGAAGCCGATGGCGACAACACATCCGGCGAGGTACACGTGCACCTATTCGCTATAGCCACATGCAGTGCGGTCATGCCTTGCCTTCGTGGGTTTGCGCACAGGAGGACGCGCCTGTCGGCAAGAAGCAGCGCAAGGGGCCGCGGGTGGACGGTGGGGGCCCGCGCAACTTCCCAATCGTCCCTCACCAGGCCTTCGTCGACACATCGCAGGAAGTGGTCGTGTCCAACATTTTCGATGGAGAGGAGGTACGCAGCCACACGCAGAATACAGACAGACAGACACTCGTCCATCTCCTGTGTGTGCCAGTTCCACTTTCTGGGCGGTGCGAGGTATGACTTGGTGACCCGCGAGGAGCTGAGCCGGCTCGTGGTGCAGAACGGCGCCAACAAGCTGGTGCCCATGCACTACAAACCACTGACCACCACACGAGTCATCGCACCGAGGTCAGCCAGCCACACACGTGCAGACAAGAGAGGCTCATCCGATGAGGGTGTCGCTCGGCTGTGTGTCGATCAGGGAGAGCAGCGAGACCCGGCTGTTTGTGAAGTGTCAGGGCAAGGAGGTCATCAGACCGAAGTGGATACTCGACTGCGTCGCACAGCACAAGGTCCGACCCCATGCACCACAAACACACACACACACACACACAATAGCACCCCATGCGCCCCTGTCGATCCGTTGCCTCTGCATGTTGATGCAGTTGATTGAGCTGCATCCGACGTACCTGATCCACGTGGGCGATGAGCTTAGGGCCAAGTGGGAGGACGTCATGGACAGATACGGCGACAAATATTATGAGGACATCACACCAGGCACGCGCACACGACGCAGAACAATGGCAAGATCTATATCCTGGATGGATGGATGGATGCCTTTCTCTGTATTTTTTGGTTTTGCTCGTTCCAGATGAGTTGGCTGAGCTGATGGACTCCATGGACGTGCCCACCGACCCGCAGATCCTCGCCGTAGCCAAGAAGATCATGGACAGAAACCCACACCTCATGCGCACACCCGACATGCCATACGTGTACGCATGCGGACACACACCCCATACCACCCCACCCCACCACTCCACACACACTCTTTCTCTCTGTCTTGTTTGTCCGTGCAGAGGTTTCCGTGTGTATGTGGACGAGACGGCCCCGCCCCCTGCTGTCCGCTACAACAGCGCCGACCGTCTCGCCGCAGGCTGGGCGGCCCTCGAGGCCGGCCAGCGGGAGATGGAGCGGGGCCTGCTGCTGCTCAAGATGCTCCAGAGAGTCGCCACACAGGCTAAGCAGCAGGAGGGCGCCACGCACACCATCCGCAGCAACAACCAAGGTACACACAAGGGCATATACAATGGAGGGAGGGATGGATGGATGGATGGATCAGATGGCCCCGTTTGTGTGTTGTGTGCAGGGGGTGTGGAGTGCATTGACATGAAGGATGGGTCGGCTGTGCCGTCGGTGCTCGAGAGCGACGAGGAGGACGACGGAGGATTTGACGAGGAGGACATCCTGGCGGACACACCCGACGAGATGAGCAGCAGCAGATGGACGACCAGCAGGTGCCGCCGCCCACCATACCCACCATGTGAATCAACGAATCCATCTGTCGAGCAAGGTGAGCAGGACAGGCACACGCGGCCGGCAGGCAGGAAGGCTGCCGGTGATGCATCCATATTTGCGCTCTTGAAGGAGCGATGAATGCGATGACTGCCTGCATATAGATAATACTACACTTGATCTGAGGCCGCCTTGTGTTGTGCTGCTGCTCTGCTCTATGTGCCATGGTCTATCTACGTGTGCAGGCAGTGTCGATTGCATTTGTGTGCCCTCTCTCCCTCTCTGCCCTGCTTTGTGTGTGTGTGTGTGTGTGTGTGTTCAGGTTCGTGTGGGTCGGCCGGTCGTTGGTCGGGCCGCTTGTGTAGATGTGTTAACTATATATGTCTGTGCATATGTGTATATACACGATACAGGCTGGTTGGTTGGATGATAACTTGGATCGTAGTGTGGGGATTTGTATGTATGGATGTGTGGACGAATATGTGTTGAGACGGATGTGTGCATTGATCTGTCTCGTGATGACAGAGCTGTACGACGACAAAGCTCTTTGACGTAAACGCTACATACATTGCACGCAACACCAACGCTCAGTCGCATACGTACAAAACCGCACAGAACCAACACGAAAAACGAGTAGACGTGTGTGACACTGCTGTTGGCGCGCCTGTCTGTCTGTCTGTCTGTTTGTCTGTCTGGTTGGTGTGGTGATGCATTGCGATCAGACATATATACACATAGATGGGCGGTTCATTACACGTACGTGTGTCAACCTGCATCGAATTAAAGTAAGATCCCGCTCTCGAAGAAGACCATGTGCCTGATGAAGAGTCTGCCATCAGGTCGTGAGGCCCAAAGACGACATCTCAAGGATGCGCAGCGTGTGACGCTCCGAGCAGAACTTGTCGGGGTTGTCGGCGAGCAGATCGAAGCGGTCCATCACCTGCAGCAGAGTGCACAGCAGAAGAGCTACCTGTGCTCGTGGAGCGCTTCATTGTACCAACCTCCTTGGGTAGCTTGTTAGCGTCACGCGGGATGGCCCGGAGCTCCCTGACAGACGGCAGCTGGCCAACCAAGACACACAACAACACAGACACGCGCACGTTGTGTCTGTCCGTTCCGTGTGTCCATGGGCGTACGTCGAGGACGTGCTGACGGAACTCATTAGCGGCCGGGTCCCCAGACTCTTCCGGACGGTAATCGCACCTAGACAAACGCGCCCACACGCACACAAAGCACCACCTTCCGCTTCATGTGCGTGTGTGTGTGTGTGTGTGTCCTTACGCGACGAAGTCAATGATGAGTGATATGATGGTGAGGATACTCGGCCGCAGGGATGGTGGGGGCATCATGGTAGATAAGTCATTACCAGCCATGAGCGTGAGGCCCGGCAATGATGCTGATGCCGGTATGTCCATGATGGTCGGGCCCAGGTCGTTCATGCCCCTCTGCAGGTGACCCATGTCGCCCTCCTTGATCATGTCGATCTCGCCGCGGGCATGCTTGGCCAGCAGCTCACAGCAGGCCCCCACCACCGACACCTCTGACTTGTCGCACAAAACCTGCACACACACACACACACACACAGAGAGAGAGAGAGAGAGAGGGGCGTTACTGAGTCGGCTGAGTGGCTTCGTTTTACTGACCTTTTCGACAGCGCGGCATGCCCTATAGACGGCATAGAGGCAGCTCATGAGGACGCCCTTCGCGAAGGCCTCCATCTCGAGCAGCCGATCGTCGCGGATGAGTTCAAGATGGCAGGCACCCAGCCGCCCTCGATCAGGGCGTCCACATGCACCTTGACGTTGTCGTGGAAGCGAATATCTGAAGGTCGAACACGCGCAGATCCATCTTTATTATTTCCTTTCGTGTGTGAAATGAGATCATCTGTGTACCCGTCAGGTGTATGAAGACAAACAGGGGATTGGCGATGTGGTATGTAACCTCTTGCCCTGGTGTCAACTCTAAGGTGTCCACGACGCTACTGGCTGCCGTGCCGAGCAGTGCGGCCATGGTACTGAGGGCCCGCGGATCTGACACCAGCACACGGCTCGGCTCACGCAACACTGAAGAAAAACACAGGCAGCCGCATCAGAAAGGCGATCGATCACATTCATTTGTTGTTCCGAATGCAGAGAGACTGACCCTGAGCAACGCGGCCCCGAAGGGTGCGGGCTCTGTAGATGTTGGTGTAGTGTTCGATGTAAGAGATGTGGGCAAAGCGGAACACGCACCCGATCACGTTCATCGCGGCCCGCTTGATGTTGTCGTCGTTGCTGGTCGTCATGATCTCGACGAGGCGACCCACACGCGGCACCAGATGCTCCCCAATCGCAGCAAAAACCTCCTCGTCACGACCTGACCACACGCGCATTGACGTATGCGACCATCCCCCAGCCATGCGACCACCTTGACGTACCCTTTTTGACGGCTTCTTCAATGTCATGTCCGACGCCATCGTGGGCGGACTCCACCACGGCCTGCTTGACGTCGTCCCCTCCATCCATGGCGATGTCGATCGCCAGTCCCATGTAGCGCACCCACGTGCCGACGGGGCAGGAGCGAGGCTTGCCGGGCTCGTAGAATGCCAGGAGGAAGAGCCCGGCAGCGGGGAAGCCCGGCGAGTGGCGTACGAGGGTCTCGGCACGCAGCAGGAAGGCTTCGTGCTTCGACACGATGGCGTCGCGGTAGTCTGTCGAGCCGTCGTCTTTCGGCATCGAGATCAGGTCAGAAAGGATGCGATAGATGGCCTCATCCAGATCGGTCTTGGCTTGCTCGTCTGGCAGGATCTGCTGCAGGGCTGCGAGGAGCTGCTCAACGACATCCGAATCGAATGAGAAGGGGAAGCAGGCTCCCATCACTCTTGCGAACAAGATGACGGCAAACTCGCGGCAGTCGCGGCTGGTGGCATCCTGGCAAAATAGCACGAAGCACAGCACATCAGATCACAGCACTGACTGCATTTCAGGTGGTGCTGCCGTTGTACTTGTAGGATGGCGAGCAGCGGCTTGTGGAGCGCTGTACCGTTCTCGGCAAGACTGACCAGCGCCTTCTTCAGCTCTTCGGATTTCTCGTCTTCACTGCCCGCACTTGAGAGGATGGAGGCCAGGTCTCGCATCAGTGGCATCAGAACGTCAGGATGAGCAGTGGGCGATGCCTCGTGCAGCTTCTGGCTGATAGCGGCCAGCTGACTCCACAACGGCGAAGATGATGACACCATTTTGGCAAAGAAAAGGGAAAACGCTCCGCTGAGGAGCTCGCAGAGGGAGGAATTGGATCGAATTCATTGTTTTCCGTTTTTTGGAGGCGCACGACGATGCAACGCCACACCACACAGTCGAGAACAGACGAACGAGTATGTACACACGCCCCTCCTCCCCTGACAACGCATGAAGCTGCACATGCACGACTTGGCTCTTTGCCATGAAGACTATCCCGCCCGACCGAGGCCGGTGGCGCGCGCCGCCATGAGCTCGTCTATGCTGCGGCGCATCTGCTGCCCCGCGTGGAATCTGCTGGGGGTCTCGTACAGCCAATCCAACTGGTCACGTATCTGTGCACACGCGCACCACACGCGCAAACGCACACATGGGCATACCGTGGATTTATCTGTCTGGGTGGATGCAGTGCAGTGCGTGTATCTGACTCACCTTCTTGGGTAGTTTGTTTCCCTCGCGTGGCATGGCCATGAGCTCCTTGACCGACGGCAGCTGGATGGAGTCATGTGTGTGTGACACACGACACACCACAGACGCGCACACACATGCAAGCAGGTAGGCATAATGGGTGTCTGTGTGTGGG